TCTCCCTCCCCCTCAATCATAGCAATGATAACAACAGATGAATAAAACGTAGAAGACATTCTTCAAAGACAATACTTGATCTTGCTTAAAAGCTTCAATCAAGAACAATACAATCTTGCTTACAAGCTTTGAGTGAACAACTTATAACACAAAAACTCAGTCCAATTCACACATCAAGATGATGAGTGAATGGCTCACAAATAACAAAAACACACGAAACTAAAAGCTTATACCTTACGCAATGCACTAACTTAACCCTAGCTTCTCTAACCAACAAAATAGGATTGTGAAGACTTTATATAGTAACACTTTGAGCGGGCTTGGGCTTTAGTAAAAACATTATCTGATCTGATAGAATCAATTCAGATAATTCTTCAAATCTTTTCATAATAAGCATCAAGGAAATAGAACCAAAACAGATTTGATCAAATCAAATCAATCACTCTTTAAATATTCAAGATTTTCTTCATAAAATAGCACAAAAGATTTCATAATTACTCCACGAATTATGCCCCAAAAACTCTTTTGAATAAGGAATATTTCCACGCATATTTGAACCACTAAAACTTTAATCACAACAGCGTAAAGAGTTGTAAAAAAAATGCAACAGTTAAACCAACACATTCCTACTGAATGTTCTGTTCACAAATATCAAGACATCATACTTGACATCATGAACTAAACCCAGCAACAATAAAAATAACCACCTGTTGAATGTTAAGAATGAAGGTGAGAAAATACTTAGAAGGGGGGTTGAATAAGTATGTAGATAAAATTTAAAAATAAAAACTCAAGAATTTTTATCCTGGTTCGTTGAACTCAACTACTCCAGTCCACCCTATCTAGAGTGATTTTCCTTTCTCAAACAAGGACTTAATCCACTATTTAATCAACTGATTACAATAGTAAGCACTAAGAACAACTGTTCAAAGTCTTCTCAAGAACTACTGATCCTAACTGGATCTTCTTAAGGTTCTCTTACAATCAAATGTAATAATAATACAAGTGTTAAGAATGCTTCTAATAAAGTTTTATCACAACTGTGATTTTTCACTTAAGATGAAGAACAATGAAATAATTCTTAGCAAGAATATATGAGTTGTATGAGAGCTTTGTATTGAATTCTTTCAAGTTTTTTCGTCAACTGAAGAAGATGAATGGAGTCTTGCTTTTATAGGCACAGAGATCCATGAAGTCTTTCACGTTGAGAACAGTGTACCAAAAAGGTCTGAGCCTTTTTTTCTTCACATCACATGACCTTTCCTAGAAGAAGAATGCACAGAAAAATCCTTTTTGTCTGTGTTCTTGTGTCTAGCATAAATAAGGAAAGAGTCGTTTGGTCATTTCAACTGATATAACTTTTGAATTCTTCTTCAACAAGTTTCAGCAAGAATCATCAGAGTCTGGATAGATCAGATGCTTCTGATGTTCATCAGAGTTTGTTGAATCATAGTCTTTGCAGCATGTGTGCTTTCAGCGTGTAAATGTTCAGAGCAGAGTTTTGAATCAGATCCTCAGTACTGACAGCGTTAGTACTATCAGAGTCTTCTGAAGTAATTGTGCTTGAAACTCTTCATACAGAGTTGCTCATTGCTTCAGATGCTTCTGGCTTCTGCTTCAGATTCTTCTGTAGCTTCTGCTTCAGATTCTTTTGGAGGCAGCGCTCAGAATCTTCTAAGAGATGCTTCTAATGCTTCAGAGCCTTGCATAATTTCATGTTCAGATCCAATTTGCTTCCAGAATAATATTCACTTTTAATATCTGCAGCAATCATTCTAAAACAAATTTTAGAATATATAATTCTTTAATACAAAATTTCATAAGAGTTATCATCAAAACATAGAGATATAATTAAGAACCAATCTGTGTTCTAACAAAGAACATATGTCAAGACATCCTGTAGGACATATTGTGATATCACCAAGTTTTACCAAAATTCCTGCCAATCAAGAACTAACATCCCCCTTCGTCACTCTCTCCCTCGTCATTTCTTCATCTTCTTCATCACTACCATCTTCAATAAGACTACAAAATTTCTCACAACATATCTATCAATAACAATCACAAACAACAATCATTCATCAACAATCACAAACAACACATCACCACAATAATAGCCTATCACAGAGAAATAAACTTTTAAACAATAACAAAATTGAATCAAAGGAGAAGAAGGAGAAAGTTCAGAGCTAAAAATAAGAACAACAATAAATAATTATCGACCACCAAAAGTGAATAACCTCGCCACCTCGTCTTGTTGAATCTAAGTTTCACCTTTTACCCATTTCAATGTTCCCTCCACCATCTCGTCTTGCTTATCTCATCTCAGGTTTCGCTAGGGATGGTGGTTATGTGAAAAGGGTTCTTCTTGTAATGTATCATCCTCATAATTGTTATGTTGTTCATCTTTACCTTTAATTTTTTCCTAAAGAACGTGCAGATCTGTTTGAGTTTGTGAAGAATCATCATTTGTTTAAGAGATTTGAGAATGTTAAGATTATTACTAAGGCAAATTTGATTACATATAGAGGTCCTACTATAGTTTCTAATACTCTTCATGGTGATGAAGAAGATGAGGAAAGGATGGAGGAGAGAGTGACAAAAGGGAAAGAATAAGGGGATTTGGGATTTGATTTATTTTTGTATTTTTAATATAAATTAAATATAAAATATTTTTAAATGATGTGCCATTGTTTTTTCAAAATTGGTCAACATTTTACCTGCCGTCTCATTTTTTAATAAGCCACGTCGCCAATTTTGAACAGAGGATCCAAAAAATCCAAGAATATTCAAAACAGAGGACCTAAAACCTGATTTTTTAAAAAGGGATTAAAAGTTTAGAAAAATTAAAGAAGGGGAACCAAAACTACATTTAAGTTAACTATTTAATATATCTAAGAATAGATAAATGAAGGTTTGTGACGCAGATGCAAGAGTGATTTTGAAGGATCCTTTGTCAAGTAACATGACCTTTAAGATTGATATCAATGTACTAGATCATCAATATCTTACCTCAACAACAGATTCAGCAATGAATGATTAAGGAACAATAAGTACGGTCACATGAATTTCAATATCTTTCATATGCTGAACATGAACAGAATGGTGTATGGTTTGCACATGATCAAACCACAAAGTTAAGTATGTGAATAATGTTGTGCAAAATTTTAGAGGTGATTGGCCAATGAAGTCAAAGCATAAATAGGAAATTGTATGCTACATGTGAGTAATAATTATTTTTTCAAACTATTTCTTGAATAATTAGGCTTCAATCTTTAGGCTTAGATGATCTTCAATTCAGCATGATAAAACATGAAATTTGAAAGAAAAAAAAACAATCATCAATCACCAAGCAAATATATTAAAAATATATTAATTTTTGGTTTTGGTCATTAATTTTTTGTTTTACTCTCTACAAAATTTATTAATACTAAAGATATAATTTAAATTTTGAGATTAAAATTAAGTATTTTATACATTAAAAAAAAGAATAATTATTCTTTATGTCCCTTAATTTTAAGTGAAGTTTCGTATTGGTCCCCTAACTTAAAAACGTTACGTAATGGTACCTTAACTTCTCTTCCGTTAAACTATTTAGTCCCTTCCGTTAGTTTGGGTGAAAAAACGTTAAGGATGGCTGAGGTGGCATGTCAGGTAAGGAACCATTCAAGTTAACACTCAGTTGTTGTGTTATAAACAATTTAGGGTTCGTGTTTTCTAAATCTTCATCTTTCTCTTTCGTTTGCACTGTTCATACATCTGGATCGTGTTTTCCTATTTTCATCATTCCTTCGACCATCTTCCATTGTGCATTTGTATCCTTCCATCTTCCGTCAGTGCTTAAATGTCTAAGAATGCAAATAGTGCTTCAATCACAAGCTATGGTACATTTGGATTTGTGCTTCATAGAAACAAGAGAATGGAGTGTTTTTAGTAAGATGATAGTGTTCTTCGAGCTGTAAGTGATATGAATAGTGGCAACTATGGGAGAAATTTTTGGGGTTGTAGAAATTCCAGAAATCAGATGAACAAGGGGTGTAATTTCTTCAAGTGTTTAAAGGATGAATTTGTTGATGAAAGGGATTTGAAGCTTGAAAGATAAAAGAAGATTAGCAAATTGAAGAATTAGGCTATCCACACTAAAGGATGGTTGAAAATTTCTATTATGGTTGGGATGTTAAGCTTAGGGTTGAATCTTGTGTTTGTAAAAATGTATTTCAATTAGGACTAGGGTAACTCGTTGCTTTGTTGTCACAACATGAATGTAATCTTGTGTTTCATTAATGAATAATGTTAATGTCTATTTCTGCTTTAACCTCCATGTTAAAACGGAAACATAACTGGTATAAAAGTTGGAACAAAATATAACATGTTATAATGCATATCTAAAAAGTGATACAAAAACACATTAAAAGCCAATGTCATTATGCCATTATAAAGCACAGACATAACATTACAAAAAGACATTAAAAGCCATTGTTATTAAGCCATTATAAGGCATTAACATAACATTACAAAAAGGCATTAGAAGCCATTGTAAATAAGCCATTATTAGGCACTAAAATAACATTACAAAAAGCCAGCATAAGGCATAACAAACATCACATCAAACATCAAGGTTGACTTGAAACAGGCTTCCCGCCCTTTTGAAGTTTTTTTTCCTTTTTGGGTGGTGGCTAACTTGAAATTGTTGCAAGTGGTGGCTGAATTGAAACTGTTGGTTGTGGTGGCTGACTTGAAATATATGACAGTGGTGGAACACTTGAAACTGTTGCAATTGCTGGCTGACTTGAAGGTGTTGATTGTGGTGGATGACTTGAGATTCCTTTTGGTACCTGAGTTACAGGTGCTTTTGGTTGTGGCAGTTTACAAGTGGCCTTATTGTGACCTTCCTTGTGGCAACGATTTCACTTGATTCTAAAGTTTTCCATTTTCAATTGTTTCTCATCCCTCTTCATTTCTCCAACTTCTCTATTCCTTTTTTTCTTGGTCATTCCCGATTATTTCTTTATTGGTGGTGGTTGGAGATCAACAGCATTAGATTTAGTCCATAAAGCTTCCCCATTAACTGGATAAATAACTGATGAATAGCAAACTTCATAGAGTTCCTTCTTATAAGAGTCAGGAACAAAATCATCAATTTGTAAATATTGATCCTTCATGTATGACATTGCATGACAGCATGGCATCCCTGTCAATATCCACGTTCTACATGAGCATTCTTTCTTGGAAAGATTGACAGCATGTTTTTCTCCATTTAGTGATATATGCTTAACCTCGTAGTCATATTCACCTGCACGCCTGTAACACTCAACATAACAAGGTAACATTCAGTATAACTAGGTAACGTTCGGCATAACCATGATAAATTGAGCATAACAATGTAACATTCAATACTACCTTACAATCCAATGGTTGGTTTTCTGTGATTCCCTTTCCATCCTCTTTTTGATGTTTGGTAGTATTGTACCTTCATATTTTTTAATATTTTGCCTATTTGATTCCCAATCTTTGCATTAAATACCCTTTAATTTCTTCAAGCATTGTCACAATTAGCTTGGTTCTAGGAGCTACAAAGACAGAGTTGAATGCCTCATACATATTATTGACCAAAGTATCACAACATGTACTTGTATTGAACCTTGATTTGCTCTAAGATATTGGTGGAATTTTAATGAGGTGTTTGAATGCCTCTTCATTGACTCCCTTTAGTTCAAGCATTATTTTCTCCCAATCATTCACGTGACTTGCAATTGCAGCCCTCCACATCAAAAAGAAGGTTGTATATGCAAGTGTCTTGTTGATGCCTATATTCCACTCTCCATGTGTCTTCTCCATAATATCCCTCAACTTCAAATATGGGTTCTCTCTAACATTGCTTTGAATCTTTTTTCCTAACCACATGGAATTTAGGAACCTAATCCTATAATCCCTGCTACATGTATGTTTATCCATTATTGTTCTCAACTGCCAAGTTTCTTGGCCTTTTATATTTGCACAGTATGCCTCCCTTGGACAACCATTCTTGCACTGAACCTTCATCCTCCTTTTGTCTTTTTTCTTAAATTTCAAGTTTCTTCCCGAATGTATAGCATAGGTTCTTATAGCCTCCTTAAAGTCATCACCTGTAGAAAAATAAGTCCCCAATTCCCATTTGTTGTCTTCTATTTTTTTGGAAGTTTGAAGGTTACAAAGGCATCATTTACAATCTCACCATTTCACTATCATACTCTTAAGGTAGTTCATCACTATCATACTTTTCAATGTCACTTAATCTTCTTAAATTTCCCCCTGAGACCTCACCTTCATTCACAACATCAAGTAAACCAATCCTTTCGCTTGATCCTTCCGCATTTCCCTTGCCCTTTGCCTTACCATTTACCTTGCCTTTTGCCTTACAATTTTCCTTGCCCTTTTCCTTGCCATTTGCCTTGCCCTTTGTCTTGCCCTTTGCCTTGCCTTTTGCCTTGCCCTTTGTACTCACTTCCTCATCATCAACTACTATCTCTCCATCAATTCCTATATCATTTTCTAAGTCTTCAAAATTCACATCCAAAGCATTGTCTTCACTACCCTCTACCTCCATCTCAACTTCTACATGATTAACTCCCTCAACTTCTGCCTTATTAACATTAACTCCCTCAACTTCTGACTGGTAACAATTGAGTCTCTCGGTCTCACTACACTCAATCTCCACCTCCACATTTGCCTTGCTAACATTAACTTCCTCAACTTCTGAATGGTTACAATTAGGTTTCTCAATGTCACAATTTGTTCCTTTATCAATCACATCCTCTGCAATACCACAGTTTGTCCCCTCATCACTCATATTTTCCTCAATTTCACAATTTGTCCCCTCATCATCGACATCCTTCTCAATTTCATAATGTGTCCCCTCATCACCCACATTCTCCTCAATTTCATATTTTGTACCTTCATCCTCCACATGTGTCCCCACATTTGTATTCTCTTGCACCACAGTGGTCCCCACATCAGCTTCAGTAACCTCAAACTCATCTCTTGCATCTGTACTATCTTGCACCACAGTGGTCCCCACACCAATTTCATTAACTCCAAATTCAATTCCCACGTACACAACAATTTTATCATCTAATCCTAATGAAAGAATTGGTTCATCAATGATGTCAATTTAGGGAACGGGATGAGTAACATATAAATGATATTCCCCAATCAATACCGCAATTGTATGCATCCTCTTAGTTACCTTGTCATCCTCTAACAGCACAATATCACAAGTATTCATTTCACCGTAGTACCAAAGTTTATCTATAGTTGGATAACCTAAATCTTTTAACATGCCGAAAATTTCAAAATAACTCTAATAATCTGGATCAACATCAATAATGGTTTATAACCCTTGATACTCTAATTTTGTGAAATTAGCAAACCCCCTAGAAAACTCGTCAGAATGATGAACAACACACTTAAACCTCTTCTCTATTATCTATTCAACCTACATAAGATAGTAAAACTACTAAGGAACGTGGCCAAAATTTACGTTTTTAGTAGGTTACAGATGAGAAACCATACCTTGGTTGTAATCAGAGAAATGTTGATATTGTCTTCAATGGTATTGATATCATCTTCAATGGGGTTGGTCTGTGCAATCTTCTTTAATGGAGTTTTCCCTATTCAGTTAGATGTTTTTGTTTGCCCTAACATTTGAGCTTCATACTTCAATTTCATGCATTTCTTATTTAACTTCAATAATTTACAGCATGACATTTTTTAACCATTTTTCAAGAATATTTAAATTCCACGTCAGATGAAGGTAGTCCATCCTGGCATTTTTTAACGTTTTTCCATTACAAACTAACGGAAGTGAAGTTAAAGGACAACCATATAACATTTTTATTCTTAAGGGATCAAAGCGAAACAACGTATATAGTTAAGAGGCTAAATGATATATTAAGCCATAAAAAAACAATTATAGTATAAATCAATTTTATTGAGATAAAACAAAACAACAAAACATTTTAAAAAGTGGTATATTTAAAAGGCATAAATCGTCATATATTTTTTCATTGAGTTTATTTGCTCATTTTTAACTTACACTTTTTCATTGAGTTTATTTGCTCATTTAAGCATTTTATGAAAATTTTAAAAAAAAATTCTACGAATTTGAAACAACATTTTCATATCTGTTTATATCGAATTCATGTATAAATGAGTCACATCTCTCTTTTTATCGAATATTAATTCGGAGATGCATTTATGTATGTACCATATATGTATCTCATCTATTTCAAATTGAGACACTCTCATTTTGATATAATTTTGTCCGGGGATACATCTCTGTATCACTGTATCAAAGTACGGATATACACTTTCGTATTCACCTTATAAGTAGTAAGTTTTGTCATTTTTTAAAAATACAATAATGTAATAGACCATATATTATAATTATACTATCATAATAAAATAAATTATAAATTAAACCATTTACTTAATGCACAAGATGCTAACGTCATATATAAATGAATCAATCTTGAATCTATAATATAGTCAAAATAACAAAGTAACAAATGATAATAATATCCATAATCCTTAATAAAAATATTATATTATTGCGTATGTCGGACCTATCATGTTCCCTCGCTGCCTTCTATATGGTAATGTCATTCGTGTCTCAGTAAGAATAGCATTTACAATGGCCCTCCCAAAAAATCCTTTTGAAAAGTCGCATTTGTCTATACACACTCACGCAAAATCCATAATACAACGACATACAGGAAACACATTAATAGCATGAGAAACTCTAGTCTGCTCTTCCTCTAATATCTTCTGATGAATTGGCCTAGGTGGGTCTCCCTTTACATCCAATGTCATATAAGGATGTGACACTCTAAAACACCATTGAACGTAGCCATAAGCACAACTCCACTCGCTATGAGCTACAACACCTCAAGCATCATCCAGTACCAGATGATTATGGAAATCATCATACATGGCATCTACATCTCTGTGGGACATAGCGGGAGGAACAGACATGAAGGGTTCTCTTGAAACAACCTGCATATATTCAAATTGGCGCATTATTCGCTCAGGTAAATGTGGATACATCAGACATGACCTACAAGCCAACCATCCAAAATAGAAGGATATGTCATTGAAGGGACACGTCTGACGGTAAAAGTTGTATGAAAAAAGTGCATATCATCGTGTACCGTGCGGTTATATACACTTTAAAGGGTTTGTCGGCCCATTTCTTCTGAACGGAACGAATGCACAAGCATGTGACATATCTCCAGTGTAGTGATCAACCTATGACTAGTCGGAGATAGGTGAGAAATGTTGGAGGATCCATGCCTGAAAAATGGTACAAGTGAGTTATTAGTAATGGTGTGGCACAAGTATTATGAAAATGGTATAAAAATAATAAAATATGCAAATATATTACATACAAATAAAGGATGCAAATATATTACCGTCAACCGCGTGCAGCTAGGTGTCACCTGTTTGATCTTCCAAAGACAACCTTCAGCAAGCTTAGAGTACTAATAGACTAAACAAACGCCCCCCTAATTGTACTCATAAATCTAATCCAAATCAGCAAAGTATATGAGGTAAAGCACATTTACGTAATAGATAATCCAGTCCACAAATATAGATGTGTCAACCAAGTACAATAGATATGTCCTCAACGTATGTGCTCTATGCAGCATAGCATGTTCATCATATCATCGGTATGCTCTTCCATAGTCAGTTGGTGTATGCAGGCTCTTTAAGAATTCAAATTTAGCATGACACCCTCGGGTGTCTTCTATCTCCTTCAGGACATCATCTAGCTCAGCTACCAAATAGACAATCATCATCTCCAATGTCTCATCTTCAATAATCCTAAAGTGGTCTAATAATATTTTCCTGATTGAAAGATGCAAAAGGCATGACTCTGTTAGAACACAGGTTGGTTCTTAATAATATTTCTATGTTTTGATGATAACTATTGGGAAATTTTGTATTTAAGAATTATATACTCTAAAATTTGCTTGAGAGTTTTTACTGCAGATAGTAAAGAAATTAACACTCCAAAAGCAAATCAGAATTGAATACAAGGAATTAGCTAGACTCTGTAGCGCCAGATGCACTCATTAGAAGATTCTAATTGCTGCCAACAGAAGATTCTAAGCGTAGCCTCCAGAAGGATCTGAAGCAAGAAACTCCAGAAGATTCTGAAGCAGAAGCTCCAGAAGGATCTGAAGCAAGTCAGAAGCATCTGAAGCAAAGAAGAATTATGTATGAAGAGTTTCTCAAAGCATAGTTTCTACAGAAGATTTTGAAAGTACTAAAGCTGCCAGTACTGAAGTTCTGTTTCAAATATGCTCTGATATTTAACACGCTGAAAGCACACCTGCTGCAGAAGACTCTGATCCAGCAAGCTCTGATCATCATCAGAAGACTCTGATCCAATTAGACTCTG